ATTTAGTCTCCTTTCCAATTTATTTTATTAGCTAAAAACTGACTTTTGCAATAGGTCCATAAACAAGTCTTCTTCACTTGAAGCACTTCCAACAAGATCACTGCTGCAGCCAACTGATGCTGCCCCAGCAGCTGTGCTGAGAAAACCCAAGGAGCTGAACTGGCCCAGCCACCTTGGGAGGACAGGGGAGAGAACAGCTGGAACTGAGACCCTGCTCAGACCCCTGGCCCTGGCTGCCTGCCTGGCACAGTACAGAGTGCCTGGCTCTCTGTGGGTGCTCACTGCAGCAAGTATTGCTGATAATTATATGATTAAGTCAGCAGGCTGCATTTCCATCACATGGACGGTTATACATTGCTTAAGAGGAAAAAAAAGAAATTTGCCAAAGTTGCACCAACTTAATTCAATTTACAGCACAACAACTCCAGCTGATAGCTTTTATTTTATTTCTCCCTTATTAAAAGTAGAACTGGAACATTAAAGATAGTGCATGTGTACATATCTACACATGTAAATTCAGCAAAACCCAATTGTACAAACCTTGATTTATCTCCTCAACTCATTCCTGAGCAACCTGATTCAGATGTATGAACTTAAAGTGGCACATTTTGCTACTAAACTTATCTTATTTTCAAATGCAAATAAAATAACTAAGAAAACTCCTCTAATTAATTAAACATTTTAAAATATTCTGGTTATCACAGCACAGTGAGAAGCCATTTTTCTGTCACTTTTCCTACAACAAGCAAGTCACTATGTATTGCTAAAAACACATGAACAAGTAAGCATACACTGGAAAAGGCAGAGGGATAATGGGAGGCAGGAAAGGAGAAGAAACAAGATCAATAATTAAAGTTTATTTGTGTAGGTTACAGCCTATTGTATATAGTAGGGATTTATGCAAGAAAAAGCAATTTTGTTTACTACTACAAACAATAGCCTGTATCTTTTTCTTCACTTTGCACTGCTGCTTTTATGCTAAGGGAAACTTGTATTGATCCAGTTATTAACGTGATGTTGAACTTCTTTTGACCCATGGCTCTATTTCCCTCCTAAATAACCACATTATTTTCCTTCAACAAAAAGCACAGCACACCAAGAAAATTCCTACACAGAAAACATAACAAACTTGAGAAATTATGATATGTCAGAGCTTTCATCTCTTGTGCCCCAAAAGTTCAAGACAATTTTAACTGTGCTGTGTTCTACCTACAGAAATAGATCACATTGAACACCTGCTTGCACATCAGATTACAAACAGCTCAAATAGTTTGTCTCAGCTTAATAAAAGCATTAATACTCTGTGTTGGCTTCTTTTACAATACTGAGGAAGAAAAATAGAATGCAAGAACAACAACTTTTCTAAAAATCAACCTAACACTGAAAATTTCTAGGATGGGAAAAAAAAACAAAGCAGTGTAGAAAATTTGTATATGAGGATTCAGAAACACCAGAAGAGGATACAAGAGATGTTTAGTTCACACAGAACACAAATTAGTTTTTGTTTTGCTATGGTATCAGTATCACATTGGTTGTATTCAGTGGACACAAGCAAATCCTGTTCACTTTTCAAGGCTGCAACTGAAATGCACCTTTGACCAGAGAGTTTTTGATTGCAATGGCAGGTCAGCAGTGCAAATAAAACTGTTGAAAACAGTGATTTTTTGCAAGTTCAGTATCCTGACATTCAGAAAAATGCTAGACTGCCACAATCTTGCAATCAGTTTAGAATATAACAATTTATATCTGCTGGCATTTTACAGAATAGCTTTTATCAAATGAGCAACCAGGCCCTTCTACATTATCATGGTAATTTTTTAAACACTTTCCGCTTTGTTTACAGCACAAAAAACAATACCATTTCTGCAGTTGTAATTTAATTCAGCACTGTAGTTTTTTTGATCAAAGATTTTTCTTTTCTGTAGAGCCATATATAAAAGCAACAGAAGGAGCTGAAGTCAGCATAATTGTGAAACCTGCTTTTCTGCAGGAAAAGCTTCACAGTAAAAAGGTAATCAACCTGCTCACGGCAGTGGCTGCAAAATTCAAAAGCAAGGAGTCCTGGAATTGTAAGGGGGATTCATCATTAAGTAGTGGCATGCATTTTAGTCCAAAATTATTTAACATTTATGTCAATAGAGTCAAAAAAGAATGAAAACATCACTGAATAAAGGTAACACAGAATCAAAGACCAGTGAACGACACAAAACCTGACTGCTGAGTAAGCAGCATGGCTTTTATTCCAGGGAATTCAGCAAAAGGGAAAATAAAATAGAAATTTAAAAAAAGAAGAAATTAAATGTGCATGCTTTCTATATCACAGAATATGCACATTAAAAATGTAATTTCAGAATAAGGAGACTCCACACCAGATCCTACTCCTTTGTTATGGACTTGGGAATTATGGGGGCCTAGTTTGAGGGTCCAGAGCCCTTTCTCTCACATATTTCATACTTAGGGTTGCTTCAGAGACATGGATTATTCAGCGTGGATGTTTCAACGTGACCAACCATATACAATGTTACTGGATTTCAGAACAAAGAATGAAAGATAAAAGTTTTTAGATTGGGAATATTAGTCTTGCAGAAAAGTGATTTGAAATAATATAATTACAGAAGAAATAAAGCTAAAACCAAGTAACAAACATACTTTCATTCCAAGGCTATGCTTAAAAACAGTAATCAGTCATTTAAGAATTTAAATAGAGAAGCAGTGAACAGGAAAAGATTATGTAATCTTTCCATGCAGCTCCTGGAAATTTACATGATGTGCTGGCATATAGATTTTACGAAGGATGCTTAAGATAGTTTAGGATTAGATATGAAGATTTGAAAGAATTGTGAGAATGAGGAAAGGATGTAAAAACACAATCTTCGAAGAAAAACCTAAGATGCTCATTCTAAGTCTTGCAAGCAAGAGGAGTCTACAAAATCATTTGATTATAACCTGTAAAATCCTATATTGAGGGATAAATTGGGTAACAAAAGAAATTTAAACCCAGAAGATAAGGGTACATTTATAACTATGGTTGGACATAGAAGCCAGGTAAACACAGGCTAATAGGTGAATAGTCTTAACAACGTGAGTAATCAGGGATTGGAGGTACTTAACAAGCCTGGTGGAGTGTTCTTTAGCACTGGGACCTTACACAAACAATTGAGGCACTACAGGTTCAAATTCAAGTAAAGCCACGTGGTAGAGGCTGAAAATCTACTGGCTTGTGGCATACACAGCACAGAGTCACAGTATTCTCTCTTTCCTTGATATTCTAGCATGATGAAAACATTGACTTTAAAAAAAACCAACAAACCAAACCAAACAAAAACCTCCAGCTCTTTCCCAGAGCAGTTCCTTTGCACTCAACTCACGTGTATTTGGAGGCTTCAATTTACAAATAATCTGAAATCTTTGGGAAAAACTAGGTAGCTGCTGATTGTTAAAGAAAAATTGTAATAGGACAGCCACTTTTTTAGTGATCTTTAAGATGCAATTTGAGCATAAAGTATGTTTTCATTGTCTGATTTGTTATCTACAGCTTAATAAAATTTTACTGCAGATAAGAGTTCCTTGTGTGTTATCTGTACTCCCCCATTCTTTGTCTGCTCACTGTACTGTTTATTTAAGATTGGAAGGAAAGTTCTGCCCAATTTATTACAAAACCTTTGAGTCTGCTATGTGGCAAAAGATCTATGCACCACAATACTTGGATGTCATCACCACTAAATAGAAACTCTGGTACTGCATGATAGCAGCCAGCTTCCAGAGGCACATCAGCAACATTCAGCTGCAGAGGGCTGTAAATGCTTTGTGAAGGGCTCCTTTCCATTTCCCCTAGGACAAATCAATAGTTCAAGATACCTTTTTCTGTTTACTTCATGCATTTTACTCCATAGCCAGTTAGCAGATCAATACTGATTTGTATTCTAAAGAATGAACAACCTTTATTTATTTTTATAAAGGAATAACTTCCAACTAAACTTTCAAATAGATGTTGAAGATTTAATGGCATTGCAGAGAGAGATTCTTTAATGGTAATGATGCACAAGAAGGATTAGCTGATACTGGTGGAATTTGGGTGGTAACATTTCAAGTGTTCTGTGGATAGATATCCAAAGGAAATGAAAAATGCTTGTTGTCAATTCTATGCTTGCCATTGCTCATTAACTTCCAAACCAGAGCTTTGAGAATCTTCCAGTTCCTGTATACGTAAGTTATTTTTGTACAGAATTTGGAAACTAGACTTATTATGTGATAGAGGGAACCAAAGAAAAAGAAAATATGGTACCTTAAAATAAAAGCTTTTGTCACTGCATAGTGTCGGGAATTTAACATATACTGAGAAAGAAATGTCAGTGAGAGATGGCATTCTCTCGATACATAGAAAGTGCTATGGGGTGAATGTATTATCATATCTAAAGTATGTTGTGATCTTCTAACTCCATTTCTTGGACACACTTAAAAACTATCAAGTGACTGCAATTTTCCTTATGCATCCTGTTCAGCAGAACCACCACCTTCACATTTGTATTCGCATTCCTGAGGGCTGTATGTTAAAAACTCTTACATGCATTAGAGCTCCTCTTACCTCAAAAGAAAAACAAACACCTCCCACAGGTTCCCCTGACATTATCAGGCCTTCCAAATACCTGTAGTAAAGGGGCTGTGACAACACTTAGCATATTGCAGGGATAGAGATACTGGGCAGAAGGTTTCCAGCCAGTCAGGAAACTGCTGCTGCTTCCCTTTCCATCAGCAGCAAGTTATTCACTGCATTTCAAAAGTGCCATCTTCTGATAAAGGAAACAAAACAATGCTGTCCATCCTGCATCTTAACAGCAAAATCAAGAATTCCAAAGTATTTCTTTAAGACTTAAATTATTGTCTGAAGAATATAAATCAGTCCAGAGAAGGTCTGAAGGTTTGAACACCTCTATAAAACCAAGACTGTCCCTCATCACAAGCACAGAGCAATGACTTTTGTTAATGTTATTTTAACTCACGTGATACAAAGCAGTTTCTGGTCCAGGTGTGCCCATGACTTCTTGTCTCAATGACTCCATTTGTAAACTAGGCAACAGGGAGTAATGACTTGGACTACTACTCTTGTCTCCCTTCTTTTTGGACTTTTTCCCAGTATCCTTTTTGCTATTCCTTTGAAACATGTAGTCTTCTTGACCTATTTTCTCATTGCTCATATAGCGAAGCAATGAATTTTCTGTCGAAAGAAAAGTATTGCAAAAAATAATTGTGAACGGTTGCATGCATGTAAATCCTGCTTCCAGAACATGCAATATTCTTGCTAAGATCTACTGTCAATTTAACTCTTCAGGACTACTCCATTAACAAACCCCATACGTTTCTTTGGTTCAGATACAATAAGAAAGCAAACTTTTGGTAGGGAAAATTCATGACTCTTACAGTTTTCTGGTATATTTTAAATAAAGGGAACAAAAGATAAAAGAAGTTGCACATCAATAATTTTTGTCTTGGAGTTTTGAAAAAAATGAGCAATGATGGACCTACTGTAATTTTGAGGTTTTTGCCACTTTTATACCAGTAGTCCTAATGAATACAAAGGTCAATGGTACCACACATTTTAAAGTAATTTGCTCTGAACATTCATTGGAGATCATTCACTATATCACACATATTTTCCCTGAAAACCTTTCCTGCACATACCAATTTATAGCTGAGACATCCTGACCCAGAAGCAATGTCTGTCAATTTAGGAAACCTCAGTAGATTTCTTTTTCACAAAATTGTCTGTCTTTCTTTGCACTAATGTGAACTTCTAGTATCCACAAACTCCTGTGGCAAGAGGTTCTTCAGCTTGAACATGAATTGCATCAGATCATTTTCCTTTTATCCAGCATCCAACAGAGATATTTGATCTCTTTGCTCTTGTTTCAGATTAAACACTGACAAAACTATTTCCTTAGTTCATTCCACACGAGCTTTTATAAACCTTTATTATGTTCTGCTTAAGTTCCCCAAACTGATAAAGGCCAGCCTGCTTAACTGACCCCAGTTTAGAAGTCAATTCCCACATCTGATCAATTTTTGTTGTCTCCAAAACGTTATTGAATTCAACTGTATTTTTCTTAAGAGCTTAGACTGGAATTGCACACACACAGCATGAGCAGCAACTGACATGGCAGCATTAGAACACTTCTAAATTTGGCCTTGTATTCTTTTCCTAATAATTCCTAAGTGTTTCCTTTTTTGTCCCCTACTGAATATTTAGTTAATATTTTACAGAAATAGCTATCATTACTGTAACATCTTGTTCCTGGCTGATAACAGCAATATCAGAGGTCATAATTTCATACGTGGAGTTATGTATCCAAGACTCACAACCCAAAATTTTGAAGGACTTATCCTCTTTGATTTTGAAGTAAATCCCAAGCTGCTCTAGAATGTTTTCCAATCAACTTCCTGAATCCTAAAATAGACTCTGCAAAAAGTTAAGCATACATAATAAAGAAAATACCAAAACAGGTACACAAACATATATATAGCTAAACAAGAAGCAAAATTATGTTGAAATACATAGCTTAAAACAAGATAAAACCCATAATGCCTTGTATAAGATGTGTGTTCAGATTACTTACCTCTCCTAGTATCTCTTTTTATTTTATTGGGGTCTTCATAATCTCCCACCCAGTTATATTCTACTGGCATAGAAATAGGCCTCAGCTTCCCTGGAAACAGAGGAAAAAACTTAGACCATGCACCATAAGGCAGCATTAACACAACATTCTTTAGAAGAAAGAACAAATTCAGAGCTAAGCTGCTGTTCTACAGGGTTGCTTAGGAAAGAGGATCCAGCATTGCCTCTGAATAAGAAGTTAGGACAGGAATTCTGTTTTCTTTAACAGAAAAGAAGAAGCTAAGTATTTAATGGATTTTTTTTAAGTTTAGAATCCAGTGCCCTACACAATCATCACTGGAGTGATGTCTGACACTGACAATGCATTCGAATTACTTCAGTTCTCATTGAGCAGCATCTGTTTTTTATTCTGGAAGCCCCTGGGCACAGAGATGGGAGAACTGTTTTAAAGCACGTGTGAATTTTTGGTAACAGAAACTTGTGCATCTCACTGAAGTACCTTCACAAATAGCACATTTGCTGGTGGGCTCACAAGACCCATCAGTGACTAAGAAAGCAAGCACAAATCCTCTATATGTAATTTCTTTTATAGCATTTCATCCACAGAAAGTAAAGTACATCATCACTGCTAAATTCACTTTGTCTTCAGACAGCAAAAAAAAGAATATTGAAGAATGTCCTATCTTTTAAATTTTGATTGGAAGCTGTTGAATTGATTTAAAAAAATGCTGTAAATTATGATTTCTGTTTAAGGATTGCATATATATAGTTGCAGATCAGTGAAATCAGTGTGCTATGAAACTTAGTGGGATCACTTACAGTGGTCTGAATTCTTTAGCAAGTTAAATAGTGTACTGAAACAAAGCGTAGGTAAATAATGCATTAAAACAAAGCAGAGAAGCATAGCACATGGCATATTATCTGACAGACTGAAAACAAAATGTTTTCCCAACAAGATCAGCCCTTGCTCTTTGTTAAATCAATCTACCAATCACAAACCCAAAAAGTGAGTAAGTAGTTTGATTTTAGAAGTTGCAAAGCTAAAAGCAAAAGCTTCAAAAGTCTTGTAAATTATTTTAGTAGAAAATCCCTACATAAAAGTCTTACTCCACATTTCTGAGGTTAAATCCATGATACACTGAAAAACAGAAACATGTTTGTAATGAAAACAAATATTCAAGCATGTCCCTCTCCCTGCTGAAGTACTGTGCCCATGGAAAACAAACCAACACCATGCAGGCAGCGTAATCGTAAAAGTTTTTATGATTAAAAAAAAACCCCGAAAACCGACAAAAAAGTTGTATGTTCTGTATAGATCATAGGATCAAGTAACAAATACATCACTACTCAGGAAAGTCATATATATTTTAAACTTTTCACTTATCATTCATCATTCATTTTACTATTTAGGGACACATTTTTAAATCTGATTGAAGCTGGTGAGATTTATTTTTCACAAAGTCATTTCCTGAGTAGGGACGTATATGGCTCATGTTTACTTGATCAGAAACAGCTCTCAACAGTTTTTTTTTCTAGAAATAAAATCTTCTTTTCTTTGTGAGGCTGAACACACAGTACCTTATTAATACAACTGCACACTTAATAAAATAGAAAAGCCACAAAATAGGTTGTTAAAATATGATGGTTATCAAAAGCAACAACAAATTTTCTGCAAAAACCTTCAGCTATTCAAAGTACCTGCTCTTGTATCCGGCATTAAAACTGCAATGATCAAATTTGTTTCTTTCCCTAAACTCAAATTGCATTTGCTTCTTACATCTACTAACAACCTTGTTTTTAACCCCTATGGATTCCCTAATCTCTTTTCCATTGGGAGGACACTCAGGAAAATATTTATCTTGCACGTAAACAGAAGCTTTCCAAGGTAAATTAGCAGCAACTATAGAAGAGCTTGAAGCCAGCAAGAGCATGAAAGAGAATTATGTTTGTTAACATTCTCAAAAAATGTCAAAAGATTCCAATAAAGAAATTACAGAAGGCCTTATTAACCTCTCATGAAGGAGGAAAGAGAAAATTTTTTGTTAAAAAATTGACACACCACAAAATTAATGGTAAGTACATGTTGAGAACAATTCTTTCTCTAGGCCTGGGAACTCTCTTTGACTTTCTTTAATGGGTGACCATAAGCCAGAAGAGTGTTATTGTAATTTTCCAGATTTCTGTGAAACCCTAAGGTCATGCCTACCCCATACCTTATGATAACAAATGCCATGTGGGAAATAGAATTTAATGCTGAAATGGTAATATTTTTAGAAAATACACTTAAATTAAAATGGACTTGGCAATGTGAATTCATTAAAAAAGCGAGATCAAAAGTGAAAGACTGTAAAACAAATGTGTTAAATAATGACTGATTTTCAGTGGAGTCTTTGATCCATGTCTTTATGTCTCTTCTGGCTAACTGATAAAAAAGGCTAAAAAAGCCATCCTATAACAAAATAATGGATTCATCAGTCCTTGAAGAAGAAATATGTTCTTCTTCACCCTCAACCACCAGTGTTAGAATTTAATATCTGGAACAGTGAGTACATCTCTGTTAATGGAACCGACTGCAGCCACCAATTGCAGTATCTGAAATACTGGAGTAATAAAATTGATATATCCATTTTCGAAATTTAGCAGTTATTTTGCACAGAATGGGCATGGTTAGAAAACACTTGAAAATACTTTGAAATCAAGAGGATCCTGAACATTTTTCAGCAGGATTGTGTGCTTGTGTAGAAAGGGTGCATTTTGTGAAAATGCAACCTTTCATGTTGTGCAAGCACATGGCTCCAGGTCCTGAGGATACTTTACACAGCTCAAGTTCAGTTCATATCAAGGTTCCCAGGTGATTTTGGGGCTTGGCTGTATGATGTACTAAATCTATACTTCCTCAAATTATATCTGTTTTCTTCACAAAGGGATATGATGACAGCATTGCTATAAGAAGTCTAACATACAGCTTGCGCTCACTTTAAAAGCTGAAGAAACATAGCAGGTAGATTGAAAAAATATTCAAGTGTCTGCTCAGCTGATACTGTAGCAGTCAAAATACATTTTTAAACATGAGATTTCCTCTTCATTTACTCTTGTTGCCTAACAACTCCATGTCTGTTCAATTTTATACTTGGCAACAGAAAACCAGTTCTCCCAGTCCAAAGCTGAAACAAGTTACCATACTAGTTAAAAGAAGAGTTCCAACAGTTTCAAGGGTAAAATAACCTGGAGTATAAGGGTTTGAGCATCAAAACTCTTAGCAGAAATTGTTTCTGAATTCTCATCCTAAGTAAGTCAAAATTCAAGATGTGAATGTACCACGAATACACATGCGTGTTCACATGCAAAATTCCTTCTTAAACAACCTATGATCTTAAATGGAGAGGAACTGCTATATGCAAAAAGATATCACTTGCAATATAGGAAGTTACAGGAGGTTAATATAGTATTACAAAAAAAGACCACTGTCATCAGTCATACTTCAATTCTAGGACTAAAGAAAAATTAAAGAGTTTTAAGAGAGCAGTGCAATGTGAAAGCAGTATGTTATGTCTTGGTAAATCTGAAGGGGTTTAATTGTTATTATGCATAGGAAAATTTTTCCAAAGCTGAATTCCAAAACTTATTTGAGTCTTGCCCTTATAATGAGAGAAAATTTCCATTCTGTATTTTTAGTAAAAAAACCAAGATCTGGTATATACCATGAGCTGGTATATGGTTTTTTCAATAAAATGATACTGAAACATAGACTGGAAAACTAAGTTGATAGCACAAATAGAATTTATATTCAGCAAACCCATCAATTTTAAACTGGACTTACCTATCATAGTAAGTATTTTTCTTTCCTACAACAAAATAAGCTCTTAGGTTGAAATTGGACTAAAGTAGTATTGAATTCTCAGCAAAACCAATAGTCACCAGAAATATTTTCATGGTTAAAAACAAAAGCAGATGCATGAAAACCCTAAAATCAACAAATGGTGATTATCTTTATGAGATCAGTGCTGTACCATATGTTGGTGTGCTCTCTCTCCTTCCAGGACCACTTGTTCTTCCTTTCTCATACTCATAGCAGTACAAAACTGCATCTTCTTCAACCACGTTAAAGCGTTTCCGATATTCCTGGTCCAGAAATGAGTTTGGAGATTCAGATCCTGTATGAACTGGTTTGCCCACTATATGTCTGCCAACATCGTCACAGGGGAGATTGCCCTTTTCATCCCTTCAGTTAAAAAGAGAAATTTTTCATATATTGAGATAAGACACTGATTTTCTTACACTGTGAATGTTGCAATAAACATGGGCCTATGCCAGTATTTCATACACTGAAACAGATGAAATCCACCCCACATCAGGATCACACAGCATATATGCATATGTATGCATTTATATGCCAGTTACCTCACACATTTTTTCAGTTTGTTCAGTTCTTTACTGATCTATCCATCTCATTGATTTTTCTTGAAAAGAATTCTAGAAATACAATTGATGTGCAGTTGCTTTTTTATTTTTCTTGTTTTTCCTGGACTCTAGCTAAGATTTTGTGATTTAAGGCAGAGGAATAATGCTGGCCTTATATTTTTATACTTGCATTTTTAAATACCTCAAATACTTTAAAGACATGGCTGCATGGCAAGCATCAGAAAATTCAATCTGATTCCTTACACTTTATCCTAGGTCAAGAAAAACCAGGCACAGAAGACATACAGACACCTGACATAGTTTTGCACAATCATTTCAGGTCCAGAAGTTGTACAGGTACATCCATGCAGTTTCACATATAGTGTGTAGCACCTGCTGATCAGCTGCTACCCCAGGACAGTGCTCACTTTGCACTTGGTGTCAGATCCCCAGGATCTTTTTGCTTTCCTGCACGTCTGCCCCTCTCTTCGAAAATGGAAACTACTCAAAGGCACAAACAGGAGAGAAAGCTGTGTTGGGTTAGGAGTCCTTTCTTGCACTAGATGAACCAGGGCTCATCAGCTAAACATGCTGCTAGAACTGCCTGGAGATGGCTGCAAAAGACCTGATCAGATAGTTATTTCTGGGCAGCAAAATGCAGGTAGTCAAGAGAGAAGTAGGTATTCAAGAGGTAATCAAGAGACAAGCTGGGCCCTATGCTCTTGTTGGAGTCCTTCAGCCCCTGTGAACTTCCATGTGAGTTCCAAGCTGGCCAGCATGCTACTTCACCTGGCACCTTGGGACTCCATCTGAGGACCAAACAAAGCCTCCTCATGGAACCCAGGCAGCCGTGAGGATGAGAGAAGGCCATCCTGTCTCATTGTGACAGTGCAGCATCACCAACTCCCACTGGTCACTCGCTTTGGCAAGCTGCACTCCCAGAGCAGGGATGGTGTTGGCTTAGTGAGGGAGGCTGGTGCAGCCCCAACAGGGCTGTGGGCTCTGCTCCAGCCACAGAGAGCCTTCCTGTGGTGACAGAGCTGGGGACCCCAGCAGCTAACGTGATGGAGACTGACATAAAGCAGGCAGATGCTAATCGATGCTGCAGCCACCAGCAGGGGCTGGCACAAGGAAGGCTGTGCAGCCTGACCAAGGGGCATCTCTACTGCAGCATGGAGTACAGAGCCATCAGCAAACACCCTGTGTCACAGCCCTCTAGAGATAAGGGCTCCAGTCCTCACCCCAAAGGTACTTGATAAATATGAGCAGGCACTAACATACAACCAGCACATGCAAAGTGCTGGTCCCTTTTTGTCATGCCATCCATGTGAGGATATGTCACCAGCTGTGCTGTCTGTGGGTACCATCACCAAGGCTTTGGGTTTTACCATTTACATCAAAATATCAAGTCTTTTACTCTATTCCAGTAACAAAAGGAGGTTTATTTTTTTTTTCCCTTTGGAATGGCAACAACAAACTGAGAAACAGATGTTGAGCAGTTTGACAATACCCAAAATACACACATGATTTAATATAGTTAATCATGGGCAAAAAAACTGATGAAATGCCCAAACAAATTATTCAGAAACACTGCACCCTACATGACAGGTGAAATCAAGAACAGTCCATTTGGATTAAGCTGATGAAAAAATTCAAATGTACAAAGCCTAATCTCTCTACAAGATTACAGCTTGTACTAATATGTATTATAAGATTTACTCTGAATTGGTCCAAACTACTGCATTATCATCATGATTTAAGAGATGTTATTAAAAATAATCAAAATTCATTTGGAAGATCTCAATTTCTAGAGCAGAACTCAAAAACCGAAGAGTAGTGAATGTTCACCAAAAATACTTTAAAAATGAGGATGCACTTCTTATCAAATAAAAATATTTTTGTGATGGTAAACATAATTAGAATCAGTACAAAGGTATAAGACAGTATAGTTTCAGGAGTGCTAGGTCTTTACCATGTGACTACTGCATTCAAAGAGGAACACACCTAAGACTATGCTTTCGTTGGGCTTTATTCTCCTCAGCTTTTTTTAATGTTAATATTTAATTATAATTAAATACTTGGTTCTTTTCTGTAAATTTTCTGAAAATTATGTCCTTAAAATATTTACGTGAGTATAACAAAGAACTGTTATCAGGGAGGTAAAATATTCCATTCCTGTGCATAATTCAAGTGTCATGACTGAGAATGTTCTCATTTAATTAAAAGAAAAAACCAGTTACAGTAAACTAGAGTATGTGTAAGTTCAACTGGGTTATACAAGTCACATTTGAAATGATTTTTTTTCTCTGAGAAATAGAAACCAAGCCAGGTACAGATGAGGCAAGGATAAGGAAGGAACATGGAACACAGATTAAGGCTTCACAAAAGGCTTCTGACATCCTCATGAAGTCAAGATCACACTTCTGCTGCCCTGGAAGGTTTTTTCATATCTCTGAAGAGCAAGAATTTATCACAGAATCTTAACTCGTCCCCCCCCAGTAGGCAATTTAACTTACCATAGACCTCACTCTTGGACAAACCTCTGGAAAGTTCTGTCAGTATCAGGTCATATATCTTATTAACTGGCTAGAGGAGTTGCTGATAAGAAACTGTAAGAAAAACTCAGCTACAAGAAACTCAGGTACAAGAAAGAACAGGCTGCCCTTATAACCTTTCCAAGAAAGGTAACTAAACGAAAAGCAAGAATTAATTTAAAAATACGTTAACTGGACATATGAGAACCTGTGTCTAAGATTATGGAAGCTTGAGGATTTCTGATTCCTCTTAAATACAATCCTACACCTCTGGGTAGCCACTTCCTGTACTATTTGTAGGCCATAATTCTCTCAGAGTTTCAGGAATGCAACATCTGTGTAAATGATGGAATTATACAGAATTGTTTGTGGCTGTGTAAAGGCAGGCTAATGAATCTGCAAGGAGGATCTGCTGCCCTTCTGGCTCAGCAAGTCCAGAGAGTTGGGAGAGATGAAAATGCCTGTTCTAGGTGGCAGGTGAGAGCAGCAGCTGTACTAACAAGGAACAGCATGGTCACTGCACAGTCTAGCAGAGTGGCCACACTAAAATACAAACCTGATATTTGCTCTAATGCTGTCTTATCAAATATATCTGAAAAAAGAAAACTATGGCAGGACTAAACAGTGCTGTTGTTGAAGTTGAAAAGTTTCTTGCATTTAACTCAGACTCCCTTGCTGCATCATGATTACTGGGCAAGGGAACCAATACAAGCTCCTTTCCCAGTTACAGATTCAGGGTTTCAGGTAACTTACTCTTCTGAATGAGGATGAGACTGTTGCAGTCAATTGATTATCCCATATTTCAGAAAACAGGGAACAGAACCCTCTTTTCTAAAGGCTACTGTCCATTTTGCAGACAAGATATTGATTCAGAACATTCTTGTCTGATTCAACACATCTACCCTTAATATTCAGTTTACTTGCAAAATACAGCATTAATAGCTTATTATCTGCAGGGCAGACTAATAAATAGGTAAGAACAGAATCGTCAGTTATTTCACAAACTTTTTTTATATTAAATTGTACTGTGAAGTGGTCTTTTTTACCTTGGAACATAAGGTTCTGTTGGAGGAGGGGGTATGTAAAGATCCTGAAGGGCAGAGCTGTCTCTTTTTGTAGGTGTGCTGATAGTGCTGGATGGAGTAGCAACACTGCTTGTAGGGCTTCTAGGAATAAGAGGCTGGTTCAAAAGAGAGAGAAAAATAATCAGGATTATCCTTCTATATTATACATTTTTATTTGTAAAAGCCAAAACCAGAATATAGTTCAGAAAGCTAAAGAAGTAATTAGCAGTTCTAATGTTTTGTGTGCTTTTAAACTGACTAAAAAACCACTCATGCTAAGAAGACAGATCTACAAATGGACATGTATTGTGCTCACAAAATTGACTCCTCTGATTACATCTTTTTCCCTTTAGCGCAGCAAGTTTATTGCCAATGCCCATGAAATTAGTGATCACTGGAGCTACTGGTGAAATCTTAATGAGTAAATAACATACAGAATCCAGTTAATTCCTTAATTAAACTAACATTGTAAAGAAAAAGTCTAGTGTTTACAGCAAAAGGTGCACAAGAAGGCATTAAATTGAATGTCAAGTCCTCCCATCTGCTCTACAGCTTAAGAATTAACTGTAAAAGCTTCAGTTTATGCCTGCAGATGCTGTTAAATCAGGTACTGCATCCTCAGAGCACACGTGTTATGAGAGAATCAACTGGAGATTATTTTTCTTCTTCATTCCCCTGGGCACACTCCTCACAAAATAACATTTACTCACAGGTAAATAAACTGTACCTTCCTTGCAAAATAATCATGCATTCTAGCTATCATTCCAGTCCAGATAGGATCCTTCACCTTAATCACATTTTCTCACAAGATTTTCTAAGTCTCTACACAGATGCAGAAAAATCAAATGAGAAGAAAAGTTTGATTGTTTTAGTCTGCTTAATGACATGTCTGTCTAAAAACAAAAACCTTGTGTAGCTAGGTCTGTGTGATAGCTAAACTCAAGCAGAAGAAAAAGAAAGAGCAGAACAGCAAGTACAAGAGTATCTTCATACTCTCCAAAAAGAATCTAATATTAAAATATACTGAGTTTTGCTTTGAAAGAGTTTTTTCTCCTCCATCATTTTGAAGTTTACTCCTTGAAGAAAGAAATGCTGGGATTGAAGAGAGTTCACTATACCTACAATTTCTGACCTTAGTAACTACTTGAAGACACAAACATTTGACATTGTATTGATGGCAGAGAAGCTCTAAATGTGGACTGAATTGATGCACAAAGATTCTTCTCCCAGCACTATTACCAACAATTTATGACAGACCAAAAGGTCATTCCTGTGCAGAATAATCAGTTCTCGTTTTCTAGATTTTAATCTTGGCACTGTAGCAGAAAATCCAAAAAGATTAAAGCAGGAACATTGCCAGAATGTTGGTCTTTCCTCAGCTCCTGATAAGTGACACAAATCTATGCCTATCAAGGCAAGGCCCCACCACTGCGTTACTTTTTTACAATCTGTGTGCAGGAACAATGAATATCACTTAGGAAACCTCATCCCTTAGCCAGTTTACTGCCTTGTTTTAGGAACAGAGCTGTGTTAGGTGCTATGTAGCTCTAATACAATAAATGCATGCTTAAAATTTGCTTCTTAAAACTTTGCAAGTCCACCTTTAGAGCAACAGCTATAAACTGAAACAAGTTTTCTGGTTTTGAATGTTCAAAATCTGTCTCCTATACACAGTGATACTGCTTAACTCTTTTTGCTCATTAATGTGAGTATTCTGCAGCCAGGCCAAAGAAAGACTGACAGTTTTTACGGGAAGAAAGGGAGAAAGACACACACAAAAAGTCAGACAGGTAAAAGACTTTACAACCACTAAAAACAAGACAACTCTGCAAAAATAAGAATAAAATTGGTGGCAAAAACAGGTCAAAAAAACAACCCAAAACAATAAAAAACAACTCTAAACATCCTCCCTCCCTCTTTTGGAGAAACAAAAATATTATCCTTTAAATTTTCATCTGTGACACTGTAGCCATAGATGTTTTAGAACCACTCACTAATACATCAGTGTTTGTTACTTTCTGACACCTAGCACTTCTATAATAATAACACTTTGTGGCTTTCTGAGTAGCCTGTTAAATTAATTTTCATTGTAAGCCAAAAGGATTTGGTGACCTAGATCCTGTTTACACTTGTTAAGCCCAAGCTGTTTTCTCATGGCTCATACCAGAAGCACTGAGAGGAGGTCAAAATGTGCAGATGGGTTTGCTCTTCTCCATTTAGAGGAAGAACACAAGCCTTTACTTTACCTGCATGAAAAGGGAGGTAAGAGGAAAAGGGGACTTAGAGACTGTGGCAGTCACTAGGAGTTTATGGTTTATGTTACATAGGGAAAATCATGCTCAAGCATAAGAATGTTCTACGCTTAAAATAATTTGATGTGCCTCTGGTGATCCTGACAAGCTACTGGAGGGCTAGAGGACAGAAGGAATGAGCTTCCCTTGTATTACAGCCTAGAATACCTGGCTGCAAATATTTAAACCCTAATGATATTGCCCTAATTTCTGAGGGGGCAAAAAAATAGCTGAAGTCCGAGGAATTTGTTTGGTACAACACACAGTCGTGACTTTTATGTCAGTTTGCCCTCCAGGCAATTTGCTGGTTGATCCTGGAAATCAGTTTGGGTTTGTACATCTTTGACAAATGCATATTCTGGTTTATCTTTTAGCACAGGAAGGTGGTTAAACCACTGAATGCAATAGGAAGAAATGGTATTCAGTCTAACACAGAAAGCCACAAGCTATCCAACTTACTGAAGGCCAGTGGTTCCCTGTCAGACACTGTCAGAGGTGCAGACACAGTGTAACTGTGGACACTCTGAATGTCTGTGGTTCCTCACAGGACAGCAAAATAAATTCAGCTTCCCAGGGCACCTGGAGCTCCCAAGGGGACAGAAATCGTAATCCAATCCAGGTAGAGGCACAATCCTGTAGGATTGTCCCAATACATAGTAGGATGTCTCAGGAATATTTTCCATATTTCTTTTGCATTGCCAAACTCAACTCTCTGCTTATTTCCACAGAAAAGTCGTGCAACTAGAAAAAAAGCAAATCTCAATTTAAAAATAAGTCACACTCTTAAAAAAGAAAAAAGCAAAACAGCATTTATCATGACTACACCAGTAAATCAGTAGCTTAGTAAGAACTTTTTCCATGGTAAAACATTTAAATGGTCTCTTCTGGTAGTAAGTAGCTCAACACACTGAGAGCCTTGCTATAACTACCACCTTGTGCTGTAGAAGTTCAGCTTTCATTTTTATATATAAAGAAGTCATCAACCCCCTCTGGTTGAAAAAAACATGACCTAGAGGTATTGTGCATCTACACAGCATTTTGCATTGAAATTTAGAGATCTCAGCTCTTCCAGTCAATCTGATCACATGCAAGTCACCAGCTCATGTAGCTCTCTATTTCAATGGCAGCCACTCAGTGGGCCACATGCAGGCACACTGGACACAAAACCACATGCAACTCCAAGCAAGTATTTCTCAATGGTTCCCTTGGAGATCAGTGGTACCACTGAATTAGTTCTCTTCCAAGGAGTAGAAATTCTCCTTCTGCAGTTCCTTTTGGCAGGCTGGCCAGGGCAAGTGGGATTGCTGACACAGCAATAAAACTAAAATATTTTCAGGTCTAAAGAGTTGAATACTTGGCCCATGGGAAAAGCCTGACAGAGAAAGTTTGGAATTTACATATTAGAATTGGAACAACCTAAAAAATGTCCCACAAATGACCTTGCATCAATCGTAATCCACAATGACAAACACAAAATCTGTAATTCAATATATTTTGGAGTACCATTTCTCAAACATTTTGAATACAACAGCCTCCCTCAGGTTCATTAGTCTTCATTTGTTTAGACAGAGCCTCCCCTATGCTGTCACTTGGCTGCAGAACAGGGAACCAACCATCTTTACTCACAGCAGCTTGGTTTCTCTATCACTGGGAAAAGGAAATGCCTGAAAGCCCTGACTGACAGCACACAGGTCCCCTCTCTTCAGGAGCTGTTCTGTCCTTGGGTGGCTCTGTCCTGTGGTCCCCACCCTCCCTCTTGCTAACATTGCTGCATTTTGCACCCCCAGTCCTAAAGAAACTGAGACGGTGTCCCAGTGAGTCAGCATATTCCTTTTCATTTTTCTGTCTAAACAATGGATGTAATCAATATTTAATACATACTATCTAAAATTCTTTTTAATGTTTTCTAAAACTCTTTGAATCTTTCATTAACTCCATGGGAAGCTGCAATATAAGTTTGAGAAACGCTGCTCCAGAAAAAGACATACAATTTTTAAAAATATAAGCAAAACTAACACAAAGGTTTAAATTACAGTATGCAGTATTTGCATCAATAAGTAGATTTTACTGCCAATATATTTTTCATATTGGATCAAAGTTACAAGAATACATTGAACAAAATGCTTCCAATAAAATTAACTTTTATAGAACAATCATGACATGAAATAATGAGATACTGTAACTAATTCAGACAGACCTCATTTTAACAGAGCTACAAAAAGTGCCCAGTTCCCACGCAGGTAAAAGACAACTAAGTAATTTAAAAGTAAACAAGTTAGTATTTTATTCAAATTTAATAATTAAAAAGTGTAGCATCATTAGCTCTAGTCATAAATGATGAAAACAGTATATAGCATTGTGTCTAGATAAATGAAGGAGGCAATATCATCAAGTAGAAAAATATACTGAATAAAAATAATAGAAGTAGCATTTTCTTTCAAACAAAGGACTTGTTATTGTGGCAGCAGCTTCTCAGGAAAATGAAATGAAAAGATGTGGAATGTAACAGTGGAAATATGGTGCATATCTAATCCAAAAAACTCTTGTCAAAAAAACTACAGATACAGAGCTGCTGATGCGTTTAAACCAGTACAATTTAATCAAATACACAACCGTACAATGAACTATAAAGATATACAAAAGGTGACATGTAAAAGGCTTTGTGAAGGATGGGTCAGAAGGGTTTTTTCCAAGTTGTGGCTGGCAGCTGGAGCTGCCATGAGGAAGAGCCTTCTCAGTGACACCAGTGGGTGCATTCCAAACCAACCGAAGCATGGCACGTGCTGCTCTAGCACTCCTTTTCTGTATTGAAAAACTCTGGATGAAGAGTCTTCCACACTGCAATAAAGTCTTCGTTGGGGTAATTAACAAAGCATTTTCCAGAAGGCAAAGGAGGACTTTGCAGCTAGGTTTTTGCTAATGTGCTGACAGCGACTTACACAAAATTTCATATGCTCTGAGAATCTTCTCTATTGAACTTTCCATCTTTATTCAAACAGCACTTGAAGGGGCCTTCCTTTGAAACCTCCCCAAAATAACACAAAGTGGACAGGAGAAATAAAACAGACAATCTAGAGTAGAGAAAATTTATTTCCGTTAGGTTTTGAACCAGACAAAAATTTGGAGAGTTCAAAGATAAAGTCACTTCTATGTCAAACAAGGAAAATAAATAAAAAATAAGGTTAAAGTTAATTGGTTTGTTCACCATATTCAGTAGCAGTCAGAAATATAAATATTGCAAACTGCAATAGCATTCTAGGTTCTCACACAATGGATCAGACTATCCAAAAAAAAAAACTAACTGAAAGGCAAATTTAGTAAGGTTTGTCTTGCAGACCTAACATCTTAATATTTATGGTACAATACCATATTAATAAGTAATTTCAATTTTGCAAAAGGCAACCACTAAATTCCCCCCCCCAAGGCCACAGCTGCCTAATTCAACTGTTGCAAAAGCAGTAACAAAAATCACAGGCTGAAAAATCCCCTGACTTCACAGATTTGGATACGATTCTAAAATGCATCATGGGAGAACCTTGATTATCAGTAAGAGGTTGGATACTGATGGATATTAAAACAGACAATCAACTCACTGAAAACACTAAAAAAACCCAACCAGTCAACCAACCAACCAACCAGCACTTTCTTTAATCAGGACACAAAGGGGGTAAAAAAGGGGTTTTTTTTAATTTCTGTACTGATTAACCTTAGAGCTGGAATTAATGCACTTGTAAATACAAACTCATTATGTAATGGTGCATAGGATAGCCAAAGGCTAATTTTATTATTTTACTGTACATCAAACCATTCAATTTGAGTTTCAGGACTGCTATACCAGATGCATAATTCTTCTTCTCTCTTTCTCTCCCCTAACCTTTCCTATTTATTCTAAGGATAAGAATATTTATGAAAAGAATAAATATAAGTGTTTCTGCTAAAAAGAAAAAAAAAAACCTCACAAAGAATTAAGAATTAATCAACAATTATGTAGTCTGCATTTAACTCCTAATTCACAGCAAGACTGCAATGCAAAGGCAGAGCTGTTCAAAGTAAACAGCTGAAAATTCTAAGAAGCATTTATGCCAATTAAAAAACAGTTAATATCTGAATGATGTAAATGCATTTTCCACACTTAGAGACTGTGAATGTTTGGTTGGTATATGGCTAATCTAGATCACTAACAGTGGGCAGAAAGCTCTTAAACATTTCACTCTCAGGTTATAATTTAACTCCTAGCACACCCTGCCACCCATACACAAACCAGCTCAATATACCTGCACACTGCCTGAGCTGGGGCACTCACTGAGCATTTCCCAGCTCACAGGTAAATTTATTATCTCTCCATTAAGTCTAGTTTGTCATGTGGCTGCACATGGCAAACTTCACATTCTTAAACACAATTACAGACTGAACAAGCTGAATGTAATTTATCAATAATGCCACATTATTCACTTTAAGCTAAAATTAAGTTTTGAAGGTTCTCAATTTAAACATCACAATGTAAATTTTAATGTAAATGAGTCTCCTAATTTAATACACTGACATATTTACCTTCTACAACTATGGCACCAGCTGTTAAGCATATTGACTGGTGGGACACATACAAAAAATTTAAGTCTGATTTTGTGTCATCCTCCTTACATTAGGGCAAACTTCTACCTTCCCACCTCACTCATCACAATATGATTAGGTTGTGACACCACATTTTTCCTCTGTTCACTCTATTTGCAGAAACAAAAAGACCATAGCTGTCTTTTTGCTGATCCTATTTCCCATTTTATCAGAATTTCATCCCCATATCTCACTCTGTAATCTTTTGAATATTTTGCATTTTAACAGAATTATTACTGGGTCACAATTTCCTTGTAACTTGTGTCTGCTGAATAATACATATAATTCAATTAACTCTGGGATGACAGCACATTTGTAATGTTCTCAAATATTTCAAGATCTCCTGATATGGGAAAACAAGTTACCATAACCTCCCCTGCTTGCAAAGTTGGTATTAAGCACTGTTTTCCTTTATGATTTTTTTGGTATTTGCTATGACTTTCCTCCCTTCTCCTCTTACATTACATCCTATGCTTTATTAAAGAATAGTCCCTTTATGCTCCTGTGAATCAGGAACATAAGGAATTTCGGACCAGCATAGCGTCAAATTGCAATTGTTACACTTAGAGTTTTTCTGAAGATTTTTTTCCAGACAATTAGTTAAATAAACATAATTTCTTCATATTTTTACAGCTATAAAATTACACTGCACTTGGACCTCTTTTGATGCTTATTATTGATAAAATATACAGTACTGATTTCACACTTAGGCTACATTTAAACTTTAACATCAACCGACTTTAACATCTGTTCAACTCTGATCCGCATAAATCCCCAACAGAAATTTCCACATTATGCATGTTCTGAAGCTTGCACTTCACCCTGGAGCTTTGTCCACACTCCGCCTACTTAAGAAAACTGTTGTTTCTCACACTAAAATTATAAATTACAACAGACACACATATGCCCACTGCACACGTAAGTGCTGAATGAGGTTCTGGTCTTATCCTGATGTCATGTTTGATAGAATCAGAATAATACCATCATGATAACAGAATTATATCTGCAATGTTTAACAGTATCTCTATTTGTGTTCATATTAGCCTTGAAAATATCCATATTTTTCATGCTAACAGCAAGAAGCAACCCTCCCACCCCCAATACTCCCATTGCCCCCCATTCCCCAAATCTGTAAGATTACAGAAGATCACTATCTAGGCTCAATGTCATCCAGTACAGATAATCTACATTCAAGCTAGCTGTCCAGATTCCCTTTATCATCAAACGCAGAGAAAGAGGCATGTGCAGGGGCAAATTCACCATATCCTAAGGTAGATCAGTCAAAAGCAGGCTAAAATGAATGAATCAGTAATTACTAATGCATGTCTGCTGGCCAAAGGAAGTGTAAATGAGAAACCTGAATAACATGTAGATATTTACATAGCAGATCTAAAGTTTTATCAGTTGAGTAAGACCCAAGTACCTGACAAACTTTTGATGTGAGGTCTCCAACGTAATTATTCTGGTAATAAATGACAAAGTGAAGTAAAATGCAGTATTTAGGAGCATGGCCCAATTCATCTGAAGAAATACCAAACTCAATCAAACTCAGGATTTAGTCTGAAAGTATTTGACCCCATTTAAAGCAAAAACGTATTTTACATTTGTATTTATATTCTCACTAAAGCTAGGGAAAAAGTACAGCCTTCAAGTATAAACATTCATACATTCATTTCATGCATCCAGATTTGCAATTTTATCTTCAGATACTAATTTCTGGTTGAAAGTTTTTGTCACGTGTATTCAGCTCTTTATATCTGAAAGCCAAAATATCTCAAGCATTTAAGAACTTAGTTTCAAAGACTATGATGCATTTCACCATTATAATAGATATTCATACACACACACATATATGTACACACACACACATATGAAAGAAGTTCTTCATGGCATTAGCTTTCTTATGTATCTCCCAACATTTCAAAGAGCATAAGACCACAGATAATGGCAGTGGCATTTCCATATCCCATTTTCCTTTCGTCCAAACTTTGCAGAAGTCTTTTCTCTTTCATATGTACTTAATTTTTAATTAGAATTTTTAGTGTGGTAATAGAAATGCCCCAAAGAATGCACTCTTTATGCAAACAAAATAAATTTCTAAACAGTATTCTGTCTGAACTGAATGGAAAAATGGATTATTTGTTGGTTCCATCAGTTAGTTACATGCCTTCATCAGTCTGAATGTAACTTTTATTTCCTAGAGTAATCCATCACAGTGACATTTTATCCTAGAGTTAAACATGAAAGCTTTAATGAAACCATTCCATGGCTTTCAGCATGTTGTAGGCTTACTAAAATTAAGTGCCCATCCAGACATCCTGTGCTTTCTTATGTGCAAGCCTTCCATCTCAACAACAACTTTGACACAATACAGCTTTATTTACATGAGGAAATTCTGATGGTCAAGTGGTTTATTGAATACAATCACCTTATAAATTTTCCTGTAACTCCATCAGTAATCGAACTGAGAACTCAAACATTTTTGTCCCCTCTTTTTTGAGGTTACATTGTACTGAGATCTTCACAAGAAATCAAACTAAATTTATCAGTTTGTGAAGCATGTCTGTCTCTCCTTAGCTAGAAAAAAATTACCTGAGGCTACTTTTCTGCATTGTAGAACACTGGGATGATTACTTCTTAACTTTGAAAAGTTCTAACAGGTTTAATTTCAATTAAGCCTATGAGAACAAATCGCAGAGAAATAATTTCAGAAACAATTTTTCAAAGTATACAAGAGTAAATCTATATGCTGCTGAGGATGAAGCACAATAAAGCATCATTGAGATAATCTATAGTTAAAATGATGGTGTATGACTTATGATTAAGCTTCATTACCTGCAGAGCAAGGGGCTTCCATCTCATATTTTTCAGTAAAGCTGGTGCTGAGGTAAGCATGCTCTGAGGTCGCTTTTTCAAAGTTAAGATAACACCACTCGGATCCTCTCGTAGTGCATTCACCAAATTTTTCAACTGCCACCCCACCTGGTAACCAGTAAAATCATTACAATAAAATTGAGGTACATTATTCAATATGTAATGTTCCCTTTTTAAATAAGATTAGTAAATAACATAAAGGAGTGTATATATATCATAAAGGAGATTAATTCTAGAAATGTCAAAACTTAATTACTGCATAAAAATCACATAAACTAAAATAATTATTATAATGCATTAAAATGTATATGCATAATTTCAGGTTTTAGAATTAATAAACTACTGTTACTTCACTGCAAATGCACAATTAAATCCCAAGGTGTTTTCAAACTTAGCTCTGGTACACAGACTTTCTAAAGTTAAAAAGTCCCGGCTTTTGCATTGACAGTTCATTTCAAAACTGAGCATTTTGTACTTGGTGGTTTCTATTCGAAGTCCACTAACCACATGTAGTCACACACTACTTTTCCTAGCAACCTATGCAAGTACAAACCAATTCAGGAAAAGCTACTCTTCCCACTGCTATAAAAATGAAGTCAGAGTCACAAGGTATTTTTTAAAATAGTGCTTCTTTCATGATGATCTCAGAAACAAATACATTAAACCAATGACAGAAATGTAGTCCAGTCACTATGTATTAGCCCAAAATAAAACTTTATGAATTTAATTACAGAGTACTGAAATATTCCAAAATTAAAATCTTTAATAAAATGGAAAGCAACAAGTTTCTATTTATAAACGCAAGATAGAACTTTTTGAAAAAATTATTTTGCATTTTTGGAAAAAGTACTTCAAATATGAAACCATTTTAAGTCGTGATAACGGTTTTCAGTCTGAATAAGACCTGATAACATGGTAATGCTTTAGGATAGTAAAAGTATTGTTTTTCAAGTTTGGCACCTAGACTGGCAATATACAGAATCATACTTCTCTTCAAAATCTTGGCCTGTAGACTCAGAAAGTGATTATTTCTGTAAATGTGACAGCTCCTCTACCTCTGTCCCCCACCCGTGCCCTGCTAAACAAACAAGTAAATTTTCCTAATTTGTAAATGATCACAGTTATGAATATTTTCTTTCTTTCACAATTTGTACAAGAACACTGTCAAGAAGAAAATTACCCAGCTGAGAAGAGGAAAAACAAAAACCTAGAGCTTTGAAGTGATAAGGTTACTTTATATCACATCAATACATTAGAAAAATCAAATCGGCAGTGTGAACAAAGAGCACAGATGTTCCTCATCATTGGTACGGTGCAATATGACACAAACATATGCTTAAGCAAGATAATCATGTGCATGCTGCTGCTACTTATTTTGTACCTTATTTCCTATTACACCAAGCCTCACTTTGGTTAGTATCACTTATTTTAAAAACTGCCTCTCCCAAACAAGCACCCACTTGGCACCTACCTGAGCCAACACTAATTTTACCAACAACCCTGAGTCACAGACATGGCTCAAATCCCATCACTCTTTCTTCACCTCCTGTCAACCTACCTGTTCTGTTTCCACCACAGCAAAGCTCATTATGTTCAGGATGCACTTCTACAGTAAGATTATGGTATGCAAAGAAAAAGGGTATTGATAATATGCATCTTTATAGAATATTTTTCAGCTTTCATAGAAGACTCCAAGCATGCTGAAATCCTCGAGTCCCCTGAGCTAGGCATATGGCTATTATATATCCTATTTTGAATAGGATGAAATATTAAATTAACCAATTCCATCTCAATTCCCACATCCTACTGAAGCTTCCATTGTGTTTCAACAGCATTTAAACAGAACATCTTTAAGCCCAAGCTTTGTATGTAAAGACATTACAATTTTATAAAAGATAACTTGCTAATTACAATACTGTTTTCTTACTTTTAGAGATTTCTCTCACTTGCTTAGAAGCCATATATTCCCCACAGTTCCATAATGTCACTGTGGGCACATGCAAGGCTTCATCTGCTATCCAAAAGAAGGAATTATTGGCCTACAGTTCCTGTAGGCTATCCCTGTACCTAAGGTACTGCACACTGTAATTCCCAAATGCAAGAACTGAAGAGGGATTTGTGGAGCAGAATCCTTCTGCTGAACAAAGCAGCACAGGGAACCTTGAGGAGAACAGGATTTGACCTCAGTTATGGAGTCAGGATGTAAAGTTCTTCCCATTTAATTTGGTAGGACACTGCATGCAAAAACTGTACTTTAAAGCCATCTGTTTCTCACTGAAATAGCCAGAGGAATATAAATAAAATGGCGTTTTTCAGTTAGGCTAGCATTTAAAAAAATATTTTAAATGCACTTTCATACTTTGCAGAGATAAACTGTCTCGTGTATTTGAAATATGCCTTACATTGCAATAAATGGGAGATTATCTAGTCTCTTTATAAGAGTTAGAGGGATTAAAGAAAAAAATCACTTCAAAGCACTAAATCTGATGTATTTAACTTAGAAGCTCATGAATAAAAACAATTTAACTTAATTTTTCACAGTGAAATTCTGAGTTTACTATAAATTTCGAATGAAGTTCATCCTTTGCTTTTATCTAGTTCCCCGACAAAAATGTTCTGGCTCTTCAGACAGGCCTTGATGGCTTCTCGTAATCTGAACAAAAAGTACTAAATTGGCCTAAGAGAAACAAGTCACATAAGACACAGTCAACAATCAACTGAAGGAAACTGATGTCCACACAGGAGGCCATGTTTTTCAGTTCCAATACAGTTCAGATCCTCTCAAAATTAATTTTGACACAGACAAAAAAAAATTTATTTGAGGATGTCAGGATGGAAAGAGGAAAAAGCAGGGACTATATATGGGACTGAAAATTTCTTCAGAAATCCACTTCAGTGACACGTAACCTACCCTTTAGGTGTAATTTGGTTTTATTCTCTCTAACATCTCCTTTCTCATCACCACAGTTAAAAATTTGCAATTTCTAATCATTAAGTTTTTTGGGCAGAATTTTCAAAGCTCCTATCATATCCTTTACCCTGCCCGTGAACTGCAAAAAAACCCACAGTAACAAGAAAGTTTTGACACTGGTTTGAAAATTCAAAATACATGCAAGAGGACTGTATTAGCAGGCAACTTTACTTATAGTAAAATAACTTGAGCAATTAATTTCGAAAACAGCACACTATGCTGAAAAGTGGCCATTTTTAACAGCCAAGGAAGTTACTGTTGCTTGCTTTATATTACTTTTTTTTGTTTGGTTAGGTTTTTTTTGTTTTGTTAGAGCTGGGATTAAAAGCATGAGAGATGTAATTTTGTGTTTCGACTTAGCTGCTTATTAATTTTTATTTATAGTACAGTGAGTCCTACAGTACTTTTAGTTAACAAGTTTAAAATGTAGAAATGGTAATATATTTTGTTTGTTACAAGGTTTTTCAAGGCCTAATTGTTCAATTAAAAACTAACACATAATTTTTAATTTTGATTTAATGATCAAATATCTGTGACCCGCAGTGCGGCATTTTTTATTTAATTAGAAGATACTACTTAAACCTAAGAAGAATAAAGTGTAAGAAAGAAAGAAACTTGCCTTAAAGCTTCTATTTTGCTTTTTACTTACTACTATATTCCAAAACTCCACATTCCAAACTCTTCACTATGTGATATTACACAGTTTTATTTAAATTACACACTAGTGATTTTAGCTTTATAATTTAGTTTTGGAAACTTTTTCTAAGGCTTCAGGTCAAAAGCACTCTTCTTTTGGGGGGGGTCAGTGCTTGACAATACAGAAAGTTCAAAACTCTCTGTTTCCAGGGTCCCAACAGCTTTAAATGAAGTGACCTTGTTAAACTAGTGCCACCTGGAAGCAGCAGTCAGACAGGAGAGGGCTCATGGATGGCAGCCTGAGCCCCGCTGGCTTTGGCTGCCCAAGCCTGAATCCCTGTGGCTGCCAGAGCAGCCCAGGGCCACTGCAGGGAGGGACCAGGGCAGCTCCTGGCCCTGAGGGGTCATGGTGAGCTGGTCTTGCCAACACTGCAGACTCCTCCAGCAGCTAAGGGAGGGACAGAAGGAGTAACCCACACCTAAGGAGTGGTGGCCCAAGGCCAGACCAACAGCGCTGCTGGGCTGGCACGGGGGGGCTTCCAAAAAGGAGGGGACAGACACACACCTGCACACGGGGTGCCTACAGCACCAGCATCAGGCACCTGCACATCTCCCATTCACTCCACCACTACATGGCCACAGGCTGTGGCCAGGCTGGGAAGCCTCACCAGTGCTCCAGAGTCACTCAGGGACACCCAGGTTGCTTCAGCAGAGCAGGTTTGGCACATGGCAGCCCTGCACAGCCCTGACACATCCTCCTCATCTCCTTGCCAAGCACCCACTAACCCAAATTGCAGGAAGCTTTAGCAAAGGGTGCTGTTAAAGGTCCCCATGAACACGCTTCTGAGCAAGCTCAGGTTCATTTTAAAAGACCTCTATGTTTCTTTGGCTTTCAGCAAGAGCATCTGGATGACAATACTAAAACAATCTGAAATTAAACTTTTATTTTGAATTTCTGTACTAAATTGTCAAGAATTTAACTTTTAAGTAATTGAATGTTGTTCCTAAATAGTTACCTTTTTACCCATATAAATCTATTGCCTCCCTTACGATAAACTTAGAAGATTGGCAATAATCTTGCTTTTTCTGATAGTAAGCATGACCATTCATTGAATCTTTTTTGACACAGCTGCAGTCATGACAGTATTCCCATACTCCTGTGCTCATTCATGAGGACTGCTGTATGTTATGATCCAGAATGAAGATCTGTAAACTATTAACATGCAGGCAGTTCAAATACAATTGGATGGCCCTACACCAACTATTTTTAGGATGCTATGAAATAACCTACAGTCTGAAAAATCTAGGACTTGTACCCCCAGAGAGCAGCTACTTCATTTAAAAGCAGTGTGCAAACCCAAAACACAGTGAAACTACATCATTGAGAGGGTAGAACAACAGTCAAATGGTAAAGAGAACAGAGTTCATATTTTTACAGGCATCATTCTATTCTAAAGGTGATCAGAGTCCCAGGAAAGTTAATGAAAGCTTTCTGCATCCA